AAATACGGAGTATTTCTATTCATTTTCCTTTCTTGAAATATCATCCTTTGGATATATGATCTCTTTCCCCCAAATCTTTAACAAACCAAACCCCCAAATTTTCAAGTCCATTAGTCTTCTCGGGTTCAAGCCCAAATTTGTTCTTATCTCTCTCTACCCACAATCTCTCTTCTCCGGCGAAAGCCCTAGATCTGGCCCGTTCCCGGTGGGCTCAGCTCCGCCGTTCGACGTTTGGGTATCTTTCAAAATCGGGTCTTTCAGATCTGGGTTTCTCCCAAGGTTTGGAATCTTGACTTCTTTTTTCTTTTTCTTGATGATATGTACTATGCCTGTTTTTTTACCAGAATTTCTGGGCTCTGTCCGAAACCAATTCCTTAATTTGATCGACCGTGTTTTTTGAATTCTATTAAATCTCATGGGCTTTTAGATCTGCATTTACTTTGTGTGTGTGTGTGTGTGTTGATTTCTTGATCCAGTTCATCGTAAAATGAAATAAATCAATTACTAGGGCCTGCTTCTGGTAAATATTTTTGATTTCTTTTTATGACTTCCAAGATCGTCTTTTTCTCATTCCTTTTCTCGAACTAGATTGATGGTGGATATTTTCTGGGCTCAGTCTGAAAGTTAATTGACTGTAGCCATGTTGATATTTTCTGGGCTCTGTTTGTTTAGATCTGTGTAGAATCCCAAATCTGTTGAATTTTCAGGACAGTGCTTAAACACAGTTTTTGGATGTTGTTGTCTCTTTAGCCAGAGGAGTAGTAAATAAATTGGCCCAAAGGCAGTTTAATGGAATCACACAGTATCTTCATCATCATCATCATCATGTTAAAGGTCCATTCATTGTAGACTCTTTTGAAACACTTTTTTTTATTGCATGGTTTCTTTGTTGACTATATTGTTGGAAAAAGTTTTAATTTTTCATCTTTTGGGGCTCAATTTGTTAGTGTAAACTGTAAAAAAGAAAGAAAAGCAAAATGGGTTTTATATTGCATGTTTTAGAGTGATTGGTGAGTTTTGATGCAAAGTTTTTTTAAATCATGGGGGGTCCTTTTGAAGCATCTTTTGCAATTTTTCAGGTACCCTTGGAAAGTGATTTTTGACAAAAAAAAGCTGAAATTGTTCATCTTGGCTGAAGATGGCTAACCCTGAGGTTCCAAACACTCCAGAAGCTCCAGATGAGAACAAAGAAATGGCTGCTCACAATGTCACAGTGTCTCACAATGACATCACTGTCAAGAATGAAGTCGAGGTCCATGATGATGGGATGATGTCACATGCTGATATCGTGGGTCATGATGACATCATAGCTCATGACGAGATGGTGGCTCAAGACGATATGATGACTCACGGTGAGAATGCGGCTCAAGTTGATACGATAGCTCACGACGAGATGGTGGCTCAAGACAATATCGTGGCTCATGGCGAAATGGTGGCTCATGATGAGAGGGTGGCTGACATTGATCATGGGGAGATGGTGGCTCATGATGAGAGGGTGGCTGACATTGATCATGGGGAGATGGTGGCTCATAATGAGAGGGTGGCTGACATTGATCATGGGGAGATGGTGGCTCATGATGAGAGGGTGGCTGACATTGATCATGGGGAGATGATGGGTCATGATGATATGATGGGTCATGATGAGAAGGTGGCTCACATTGATCATGGAGAGATGATGGGTCATGATGATATGATGGCTCATGGTGAGAAGATGGCTCAAGTGGAGGATCTGATGGGTCATGTTGAGATGGTTTCCAATGGCCATATGATAGATGGAGAGGAGCTAATGGGTCATGGTGAGATGGTGGCTGGAGGTGAAGATATGATGAGCCATGGCGGCGAGATGGACCACCACCACCACCACAGCCATGAGATTCTCTTCAACAGCAGTGAAATTGTCCCGGTGGAAGGACACATGGATTACATCGAGACCCCACCCAACAGTTCCGAAACGCAACCCAACAAGAGAAGGAAGAAGAAATCCATAGTCTGGGAGCATTTCACGATCGAGGCGGTCGGGGACGGGTGCCGGAAAGCCTGCTGTAAAGAATGCAAACAGTTATTCGCCTACAGTCAAGGCTCCAAAGTGTCCGGGACGAGTCATCTCAAACGCCACATCGCCAAGGGCGCCTGTCCCACCGTCCTACATACTGCCCTACAGAACGATGCCAACAACAACCACATCCCCTATACCCCCGTAGTCCTACAGAGTGGTGCCCCGGACGCCGGGTCCCAACCGCGGGCAAAGCGGCGTTACCGGACTAGTACCGCCGCTGGCCTGCCGTACTTTCAGTTTGACCCGGACCGTTGCCGGCACGAGATCTCGAGAATGATCATCATGCACGAGTACTCGCTCCACATGGTCGAGAACCCGGGGTTCATCTCGTTTGTTCATCACCTCAACCCGCGGTTTGATATGGTCAGCTTCAACACGGTCCAAGGGGACTGCGTCGCCACTTACCTCAGAGAGAAACAGTCTGTCCAGAAGGTGATCGATGTCATGCCCGGTAGAATATCTCTCACGCTGGACGTGTGGTCCTCGTTTCACCAGGTGGGGTACGTCTGCATTACCGGGCAATATATAGATTCGGAGTGGAGGATTCACCGCAAGATTCTTAACGTCATCATGGAGCCGTGTCCCGAATCCGAAACCGCTCTCAGCCACTCCATTGCTGTTTGCCAGGCGGATTGGGGGATAGAGGGGAAGCTGTTCTCGGTCACGGTCAACCAGCCTTTGACCGACCTGGCGGCAGATAATGTCCGGTCTTTGCTCTCTGTTCGGAACCCGCTCATTCTCAACGGGCAGCTGTTGGTCGGGGACTGCCTGGCCCGCACCCTGAGCAGAATCGTGGTGGATGCGTTGAACTATGCGGAGGAATCGGTCAAGAAAGTGAGAGACGTCGTGAAGTGCGTCACGCTTTCGGAATCCCACGAGGAGAAGTTCAATGAGCTGAAACGGAATTTGCAGGTCCCGTTCACGACCAAGAACCTCGCGCTGGATGATCAAATGCGATGGAACACCACGTACGAAATGCTGCTCGCCGCTTCTGAGCTGAAGCACGTGTTTTCGTGTTTGGAGACTTCGGATCCCGACTACAAGGACGGGCCATCCGCCGGCGACTGGAAAAGGGTCGAGATGCTGTGTGGCCGGCTGAAGATCCTCTTCGACGCGGCCAACCTCCTGACCGCGGCGGCGGTCCCCACCACGAACACGTTCTTCCACGAAGCGTGGAACATTCAGTTGGAGTTGGCCCGTGCAGCCGCCGGCGAGGAGGATGAGGAGGAGGAGGGCCGTTTTCTCGGCGGCCTCGCGAGGCTGATGAGGGACGGGTTCGACGAGTACTGGAGGAAATGTTGCCTGGTTTTAGGGCTCGCGGTCGTCATGGACCCGCGCTTCAAGATGCAGCTCATCCACTTCAACTTCGAAAAGCTCTACGGCGACGCCTCGGAATTCGGGAGGATCATCAACGAGGCGGCCCACGAGCTGTTCGCGGAATACGCATCGAAAGAAGTGGGCCCCGCTGGGGGGACAGTCAAGCTCGAAGAGGAAGAAGAAGACGAGGGGACGTCGGGCGGCGGGCGCACGTACTCGGATTTCGACCGGTACGTGATGCAGACGACGAGCCAGCTGGCAAAGTCCGAGCTGGAACAGTACCTGGAGGAGTCGTTGTTGCCTCGGGTGCACGGGCTGGACGTGATCGGGTGGTGGAGAGTGAACAGGAAAAAGTACCCAACGCTGTCGAAGATGGCCCGGGACGTGCTCACCATTCCGGTGAGCACGGTCCCGCCTGGCTCGGTGTTCTGCACCGGCGGCAAGGAGATGGACCGGTACCGGTGCACGTTGCGGCCGGAGACGGTGGAGGCGTTGATCTGCGCCAAGGATTGGCTTCTCCAGAGTGAGTCTGCGGCACAGAGTGCCATTTTTCAGCCTATCAAAATGGAAGTCCCAATTTAGTGGGAGCAATAAATAAAACAGTATGATGAGAGAGTGATTTTTAATTTTAGGCTGTACAATAATATTTCTATGTGGGCTTTTTTTTTGTATTGAATGTGTGGTATATTATCTTTTTTACTGGCCTCTATACAATATCTTTGATTATGGGTCCATGGGTGATGGGTGTGTGTATATCTAGAGTTTTAAAAAGAAGTTTTACTCTTTTTATATACTTTCTCTGTCCACAAATAAATTTTTCGTTACACATTATGATGTTTGACTGAAGTTACTTTCAAATCATTTTATATGAAAAATGGTGTAAAATTTAAAAATAAAAATTAGATATTAAAAAACTATATTAAAAGATCTACAAAACTAGAGGTGACATGACTATTATTTTATCAAATGAGTGTTGAAAATCGGTAACAAATTGAATAAAGTTTAACCCTGTGAATAGTGAACGTGAAGTTTATTTGTGGACGGAGGGAGTATATACTTTTTATGTTTCAATGTGTTAGTCTAGTTTCATTTTTTTTACTCAAGTTTGATTAATTTTAGTCATAAATCACTACTCCTTCGTCCAAAATTATTTTTCATATTTGGCTTTTTTTGTCAAAGTTTGTATACTTTTTACTTCAATTTGTAGAAAAAGTATATCGTATTATTTAATTGAGATTCAAAATTCGTTTAGTTTGACTAAACAATCAAGCTAGACGATGAATAGACTGGGACGGAAGTAGTACAAGTCAAAAGTTTCATAAAAAAGTTTATTTTCTTTGTTCGTTCTAGAAAAAAGTTACTTTCCATTATTCGAAACAAATTTGTGGTCTTTATAATTTTTCACTCTTTTGCATCATTTTTATGTACTTTTTCTTAATCGCATATCAAAATAAGAAATTGGATATTGGGTGCATTTAAATTTTATTCACTCAAATTACATCAATATAATATAAAGTGCTTGTCTTTGTAGATATTGGGCCAATGTTGAAAGTTCTATTTAGTTTAAATGGGCCCAATGAAAATATGGATCAGTTTCTTTAGTCCTTCCGCCTTCGCGCGAAAAAACCTGCACGCTTCTTTTAATTTCCCTCCAGAATCAATTTTAGGGTAAAAATAAAATCATATTCAATTTTATCTTCGCTCCAATCGTACATCGACTGGAGAAAAAATGGCAAAAAGTTTCAAAGATGATCTCCGGGACGTGCTCACCGGTCTGTCATCGTCGCGGTCGTCGTCTCCGAGCAAATCCGCAGCTTATTCAACGCTATTGCACCTCCAGCAGCTCTCATCTACCAGCAGCGCCGACCCCGTTCTCATCACATTGCTCGCAGACTCGTCTTCCTCGCTCCTGCAATCGATTCTCGTCGATATCTTCGATCGCGATGAGGAAATGATGTGAGAAGCCGACCTTATTTGCACAGTTAACTCAAAATTTGTTTGATTTTCTTGGAAATAACCGTGTCTATGTGTTTTTCATGCTTTGATTTAGTTCCGTGCAGGCTTTGAAGTGTTTGGGGTTTATGATTTATCACCCTTCTATACTTGCTTCTATTAAATGTTAGTCCTTTTACTCCTTTTCTGCTTGCAGTGTTCTTTTCAATCATACTATAAATTTTATTCTCGTTGAGTTATGTTGGTTTTTTTTGTGGTGGTATACTGGTGGTCTATGTTGCACTGGTACTACTAAGTACTAAGGGCGTCTCTAACGGGGGAGAAAAGAAGGGGAATAAGATGATGTGGAATGAGAATCGTGAGAAGCTTGATTAGGGAGAGGAGGAGCTTATAGGAGAGAGAAGAGATGGGAGGAACTGTTAAAGATTTAGGGGTAGTTTTGCAACTGTTATAGATTTAGGGTTTTGCAAAAAAAGAAAAGATTAGTTTTGCTAAATTATAAACAATCGATAGATTAATTATACCCCTCTGCCCCAAAATTATACTCCTACCTTTTTGGGTTTAGTAAAAGTGAAGTAGAAAGTAGTGTGTTGGTTGTTGTGGGTATTTTTTTTGTATAAAAGAATTAAAAGGTGCATGCCAAAAAGGAAATGGGAAGCTGATTTTGAACAACTAAAAAAGAAAGTTCTTTTCGGGACAAAAAAAAGGTATAATAAAGTCAAAACTATATACTCCTTATTTAAAAAGTTATACCTCCTCTACTCCAAATATTATTTTGATTAGAATAATGTATTACTCCGTAATAAAAAGGTAAATTTGAAGCTAAAAAATAATACTCCCTGTCGCTCTGTCCTAAAATGGAATATACTCTTTCTTTTTAAGAATGTTCCCATTTCCAAAATAAACTTTTCACTTCCCCAATCTTTACTTGTTAAGAAATGAATATGCAACTCTTATACTCTATTTTTCTTATACTTAGGTTCCAACCACAAGTCTTTGACTTTTCACTAAATACCTTTCACTTTTGAATACATTTCATTAGTTCCGTAAAGTCAAAGCGTATACTTTATTTTGGGACAGAGAGTCACATTTGTAGAATAAGTTTTAGGAAGGAGGGGGGATTAGAAGTGTGATGTGTGCAATGCATTTCAGTATGCATGCTTGTTAGCTTGTAGCTTTACAATTTTCAAATTCATCCTAACAACTTTTAAAAAGTTGCAGCCCCAATACATATGGTACGCATATGATAAGGTATTGGGTACTGACTATGTCCAAATTTCATCCTGAATAAGTATTGGTGCAACATAGGTGGTAATATAATATATAATGTTGAGCTGGTTAGTTGATGCTCTTTCAATTGAGTGAATGTAGGTGAGGATTCCAGCTTTATTGTTGAGTCACTTGTTAAGGTTATCACAACAACCAAGATAAAGGTAAATTAAAATTTTAACTGTGAAAATGTAGTGTGGGCACTATGTTGGGCCATGTAACTGGAGATAATACTGTTTATTGGTGATTGCAGTGGGTTTGCAATTTGGGTTTGTGGTGTATATCTATGCAACAGTTTACCACTACGCTTTTGGACACACATTTTCATGCATTGCTGAGGGCAATTTCTTATGGCCTCGCTAATCCTATGGGCTCTCTTTCCATAACATTTGAGGCTATGCTGGTGAGTAATTATCCATTTCAATTATTACTTCTCTCATAAATAGATTGTGTGTTATTTGTTAAAAAGGCTTAGTTTAAAGGAAACAAAAACACTTTTGAGATACCACTGGACAAAAGCCTCTTTTTCTTCTTTTTGTAAATTGAAGAACATAATGGTCACGTCTTGATCTTTAAAGACTGGTTTATTTGTTTTACATCACCTCTAGTTTATCTAAACTATTATTTGTTCATATTATTGTACATCACCTTTAATTTATCTAAACTATTAATTCCTCTATCCTACTATCTTTGTCCCTTTTATCATTTTGCACATCAGAGTATCTTTTTCTCATTTCATATTTATCATATATGTGTTTTTGAAAACATTTATACTTAATATTTAACACACCAGTTCCACTTTTATTTTATATGTGTGCCACTTTTTCATGTTCCTGATTTGGACTGTATTCTGGATCATTCACATGTAATATGTGCCAGTTTTGTAAAATGAATCACTCCGTATATTTTAGTCATACCAATCATGTTAATCTTGAAAAGTACTAAGAAAATTGAAATTTGAAACCATCTTTTGTGGTTTTCATTATCTTGCCTTTAGTAAAAACAAACAGAAAACATTAAGTAAAAAAATAAAACAAACAGGCACTCAATTATTGGTTAGCTGATTATGCAAGCCAAATTCCTCTTGGAATTTTCTTTTAATTCAGCCATAAGTTGTAAGAATCCATAGTGCAATCTATTTTAATACTGAATAGTACGGAGTGTATTGTAAGTGCAAATGCTTGAGTAATTTTGGAAGCAACCAGTAAACAAACTGGGCTATTAAGAATCATTCAATTAATTAATAAAATAAATTTATATCTGAAACCATGAACCTGGCTATTAAGACTTTTTTGAAAAATTACTAAGATATCAAGATTCAAGAGTGTATAATGAAACATTTAGTTATCAGGCTCATTCTTTGCTGATTGTAAAGGCAGGCTGTGATGAAGTTGGCTGGTTCAATGGGTGAAAAGATGCGAAACTCATCGAATATTTGGGTTCCTCCCCTTTATAGAAGACTTGCAAGTGATGATAAAAGGGAGAAGGAAATGTCTGAGAGATGCTTGCTAAAAGTGAAGACCATTATATGTCCTCCACCAATTGCGCTTTCCAAGGTAGAATGTGCTTTTTAGTTTCCAATACTCTGCCTGTGCATATATTTTGTACTTTTAGCATGAGTGGCCATTAGGGTTCCGTTTGCTAATAGGAAACTATAGTCATGGAAAATATCCCTTCGAACAAGAAAAGATTTCCCTTTGCACCAAAAAAACTTTTTTAAAAAAAATTGTGAAAATGAAGTCATTTTCCAGGAAAGCTATGTCCCGGTAATAAAGGTAATTTTTTCAAACAGTTTTATGGGTCAAATTTTATAGTTACTTATTTTCCAGGAAAATTGTCCTCGTGTAAAAGGACCTGCTGATCTGGTAAAACAGCTGTTATACCTATATGATTGCATGTATTAGTTTCTCCATTAAAGATTTAAAGGTTTTTTCAAATTTTAATTGACAATTTTAACATAATCAGACCAAGTTTGGGTGAGCTAAATTATGTTCCAAGTTCCAACAATCTTGCATAAAAGAGAATATTAATCTTTGACCTTTTTTTATACAAAAGATGGTTATTCTAGACATGAAGAAAAAGCTGCTTGCAGAAATAGAAGAGATGGTTAATCGTGGCAAGAAGATTGAGGCTCTTAAAGCATGGGGGTGGTTTATACGCTTACTGGGACCATATATGACCAAACATAAGGATTTAGTCAATGAGTTGCTTAAACTTCCAACACGGACATTTTCAGACTTCGATCCACAAGTTCAGATTGCTTCGCTGGTACTTTTACTTTTGAGTGGGAACATTCTTTTAATTTATATTGTGCATTGATAAGACATTCAACTTTGGATGTGTTAGCTTCCTTGTAGATGAATTTACTGCTGCTTTCAAAATATTGAAATGTTTTAAATTCAAGCTTTATGTTCAATAAAGGTGTTCTATATTGTTGTTCAGGTTTCATGGGAAGGTTTGATCGAGGCATTAATCTGCCCCCCATTCAATGATCCTGAGAGCAGTTCAGCTACCAGGAATGCTTCAAAAGATATGAAAATTTATGAAGGGGACTGTAAAAAGATGATTTCAAATGGATTTTCTAAGAAGCTTAAGCTTATAATGACACCTCTTGCAGGAATCATGACAAGTAGATGTGATGTATCCGTTCATGTAGCATGTCTGTCTACTTGGTGTTATCTATTGCATAAGCTTGATACCTCTGTCAGCCATGATTCAGTGGTCAGAATTGCATGTCAACCAATTTTAGAAGCCGTATTCCAAACCGGACCTAATGACTTCAATAGATACTCATGGAATTTTTGTATTGAACTGCTTGATAATTTTATACTAACAAGAAGTGGTCAAAATGAAAGCATTAATGTCCACGTAGGTGCTGACCTATCTCCTATCAAATGGTCGCCTTGGGATTTAACTCAGCTAGACTTTTTTGTAAATACTATACATTATCTGTTCAATCAAGGATCTGATCCTGTGAGGCATGAAGAATTAGTTACCTTGACATACAATGCTGCGTCAAGGCTATTCAGATCTTTGTTGAGGTCAGTTCAGAATTCCTTAAGATGTGAACTTGTCACTTACGATGAGGTTATGCTATGTTTAAATGTAATTCTGAAGTTCTTCATTGAGATTCTTGAAAACTCGAGTTCAGACGATACATTATCCCTTCAGCTTTTGTGTGCTGCAATGGAGGAGTTAGATCCATCAATACTGGAATCTCCTCTGTACAAAGTGGCCTTGGACATAAAAGTTCTTGAAAACGTACAACCAATTTGTAGGAATCTCAAAACATCAGATATTGGCAGTCTGGCTTATATGGAAATGGTTTCTCCCGCAGTGTATATAAGTGTTTTGTACTTCGTCACGGTCATTAAGTCTCCATTGGTTGTAACACCCGAAATGTACAAGTATTTAAAATTAATAGTCTCTTCATATGACAAGGTGGAGATACTCAAGATGTTAGTCGGTTTATTATATACTCACAAGGAATCAAATTGCTTTGAGATATGGGTAACCCTTGCACAGTGTCTTAATGAATTTGTAATGGAAGATGGGTCCGGTTATTCTGCAGTTATGCTTCTCCTAAACTATCCATTTGCTGCTTATCCTATACTTCAAGGGCAGTTTGAGATTACACGTGCCATTGAAGCATGGGAATTGTTTTATGATTATATAAGTAAATGCTCACAAATTTGCCATTTGATTATCACAAGGGACGTGTTTGAAATGTTGAATGGAAACATTGATGAAAACAGTGAGAGGGGTAATTTTCTTATGTTATTAGGTAATGCCATGTCATGTGTTTTGGAGAAGGCTATTAATGATAAACACAATAACAAAGATGGTGATTCTGGGAGCTCCAACAATGTCATGAGTAGCCTGGAATTTGCCTTCAGGTAAGAAGGCTTTATGTCTCCACTTGTGCGATACAGTAGGTTTGTTGTTGTTGCAAAAAGGCTTCATGTTATGTTATAAAACCATTGATATAAGAATACGATATGTATAAAATTAGAAAACTAATATCTTTTTTTGCCATTTTGAATTATCCAAGGTAAAACCCAAATATAAGGAAAGGAAATTATCTTAGAATTTTTTCCCTTTCCCTAGTTTTTATTTCCATCATCTCCGATGGAGCCAAAATTTCACCATTTTTTGGCTTTGGGGTGTGATGGAATAAATCAAAATGGATCTCTAAACTGTCTGCGCTTTTTTAATTAATGAAGTAGCAGTTAGTCAAGCAATGCAATTTTCGATGTTTAGCCGGGGGTCTCTTTGGAAACAGCCTCTCTACTTTCGAGTAGGGGCAAGGTCTGCGTACACACACCCTCCCCAGACCCTACTCTTGTGGGATTTAACTGGGTTGTTGTTGTTGTTTGTTCCCTAGTTTTTTTTTCTGGAATCCATACATACCCTATGATGTTATTGTGCTATTGCATGCCAGGAAAGTGCAAACTTTCTGAGGAATTTGAAATGTAGGGAAGTGATTTCATACTAGGTGATACCTTTGACCTAAGAAAGTTTGATCATATAACTTGAAAGCAATGAAAAATCCTTCTAACCTAGACACAGCTAGTCACACGGTTACTTAAATAGCCCCTGTACCGAATTTGTCATTTACATCTCTATTTTTAGGCCATTTGGCCCCGAATGCCAAGTAGAGGCATATAGATTAAGATAAAGTTTAGCTATAGTGGTTGAAAGGAGAAAAATGTCCTTCAATAAGTCTTGAGTTGTTTTTTATCACTTAAATGGGGAAATTGACCTATTACACGTTTCGACCAAATCTGAATTTACATGTCTCTGTAAAAACACTACGTCAGTTCTAATGATTGTTTGCATTTCCCTTGGACTTGCACAGGTTCATGAAGATCCCTTGGGTGGTGGAAGAAAAAAATTTGCAAATAAGTTTCAGTATAGCATCAAGGTGTGCTGATGAATGTTTCTTGTTAACTTTATTCCTTACATACTGCCAACATCCCAAGTTAACTTTATAGAATTTCAGGTTACTATCAAAGCTGGTGAACTTCATTGGGTGTTTTCCATTTCATCAAGGTTTTATCTCGTTTATTGAGGTTTGTCTTTGACTCTCTTCTCTACGAACATATTCAATTTCCATTTATTAGGATTCTCAATTATCCCGACCCCTACATAAACCCAAATGGGAACGCATGGAAATGTTATTGATGAAGTATTAAGTGTCTGTTTGAAAAAATAGAAAATGATTTCTGGAAAATGACTTCCTGGTGTTTGATTGAAAGTGTGGAAAATGAAAAAAAAACTAGTTTTTGTTATAACATATTAACATAAAAAAACATGGTGAGTTTTGATTTGAGGAGAGAAAGGTGGAAAATGTCTTCCACCAAAAACAAGGGAAGACAATCCTCCAAATAAGGTTTGTTTCTGTTAACTTCAAAAATCATATTTCGCTAACTCCTGTCTTCGGGAACAACCAACCAAACCCGGAGAATAGGAAAATGACTTCCGGAAGTCATTGCATTCCCTTACTCGCTTGATTTATACTCCCCTACGTCCCACTATTTTTGGGACATGGCCACATGGGGGAGTGACACAGAAATTAAGAAAGATAAAATTGTGTGGTTGATATTGATGTTTGAAAGTAAGAAAAGGTAAACATAAATATGAAGCACACAAATACGACCAAATATGTACCCCGTGTGAGACACAAATAAGAGACATACAAAAAGGTAAAAAAAAAGGCACAAATAGTGGGACTGAGATTATATATCTTTAATGCAGAGACAGAAATCTAAATATAGGTAAAGATTTCAAATCAATATTAGTTTTCCTTCATATTTTCCAATTTTAAACCAATCATTAAAAATTTACTTCCCATAACATTGTGGTATTCTTCATCAACCATGCATTATGTACATTACTTTCAAACTTCTTTTGAGTTTCTCATTGCAGTTCTGATATGATGTTTCATGTTTCCACTCCCCCATTCCAGATTACAACAAAGCCACTGCTTCTATGGCTATCACATATGGATCTTCAAGACAATTGCTTCAAAGATCAACTCCCCCTATTATGGTCTGAAATCCTGAAGAATCTGCAGAAGAACCAATTAGTTATAAACTTTGATTCTTCATTTCTCAAACTGCAGTCCCCCCTTCTCCAGAAAACTCTCGACCACCCGTGCCCAGAAATCTCCAACCCGTCCGTCCAGTTTTGGGATTCCACATACGGCAAACAGGTCAATTTACAGTACCCGGAAAACTTGCTTCGCATTCTTGACAAGCTTTCGAGGAATGGGAGACTGACCCTATGCAGAAAAACTTCCCCTGGTAAAATGGTGTGGAAGATCAGCAGTGCCTCCTCCCTCAACCGGTGTTCTAAAAGGGTTGAGTTTGCGGGTGTTGTTGGCGGGAAACGGGCACGTGGCGAGCTGACCGAACACCAGAAGGAAGTGAGACGTGCTCAACAAGGGCGGGGGAGTGACGCCCTCGGACGGGGCCCGGGTATCCGGACTTACACAAGTGTTGATTTCTCTCAAGATAATAATGAAGAGTCACAAGAGAGTCAAGACATCAGGGACGCTGATTCCATCATGGAGATGGTGAGGAAAATTCAATAGGATAAAGTCATGGTAACCACACAGGGTGATCCCATGCTTTGCATAGACATGCCGTGTGTGTGGACGGTGTGGTGGTCTGTGCAAAGCATGAGGTCACCCGTGTGGGTGTACCGAGCACGATCCAATTCAATAAGGGATTGATTGTTTGGGTGTAGGGTTTCGATAGGGATACTTTGTTTATATTTTGATAGATAGAACATTTCCAAAGTCAAATAAATTATTTTTACTCATATTTTAGGGATTAAGGGAGGGGGTGGGGGCAGGGGGCTGAGGTGGGATTTAGGGGGTACAGACCATTAATTTTACGACCAGAGCACTATAAGTGCCTCAATTGAATTGGTATCGCGATTGGTGTTGTCTGTTGTTGGTGTAACTTTAACCATCCTCTTTTATAACAATATGCATATACTTTTCAATATATATAGATTTAGCTTGCAAAAACTCAACCTCTGAAACCTCATCGTTTTACACTTGAAATGTGCACAAATGATACTTAAAGGACCTATTCATGGAGGGCATGAGATAAGAGTTCTAAAATTTTGCGATCCCAATTTTTTTTGTGGGTGTTTGGCAAAGTCTAAACATGGTTTGGATTTGATATTTTCTAATCACAATCTCTAAAATATGTCTATTGATGTATCCTAAATTTGAGAGCTATAAATTAATTGATTCTTTTGATATTGATGGCCAACAACCGCCCATCATTGCCGATGTTGGCCACCGCCACTATTGATATTGACGACTAATAACTATCACGAACAACTATTACTGCCTCCGTCCCAAAAAGATTTACACCTTTTAAAAAAATTGCGTCTCACAATTTCCTACCCATTTCTATTAAAAAACTACTTTTACCCCTTACTTTTTCAAACCCTACATATCACACCATACCTTTTTTCTAATAATTTACACATCACATTAAGGGTATTTTTGGAAAGTCAACACAAAATTATCCATCCCTTAATTTCAACTTTAGTCAAAACGTGTAAATCTTTTTGGGACGAAGGTAGTAGTATTTCATATCTTTTCAAAATTTTCACTTCAAATTTTAAAGTTTATATCATTTTTTTAATATTTTAAAATTCATGCCATATCAATCCTACTTTGCTCACAAAAGGGACCCTAATTTTTTTTTACTAATGTAACAAGTTTGTGTACACATAAAGTGTTAGTATCAGACGAGAACATGTTTTGTGTCCACATATTTTTTTAAAAAGGATACTCCTTAATTCTCTTTGTACATTGTTCCAAGTTTCCCTAACGCCAGACAAGATATTTTGTTCAGACCATGTTTGGTGTGCACTAATCTCATTTTTTTACACTTCACATATTTGCCTGTTGCACAAAGAATTTGTTGGTGCAATGTCAGTGAAACATTGTTTCTGCAAGTATGAGTAAAAAATAGGTTGGGGTTGTACACCAAACATAACTCTTTAAAATCTCCCACCCGCAAAAGCATTTCACAACAACAACCTAGTAGAATCCCGTAAAAGCAAGATCTGGGGAGGGTGTGTACACAGATTTGACCTCTACTAAAAGTATAGAAACCGTTTCCAAGAGACTTCCAGCTCAAACAAAAGCGCTATGAGCATTTCATCCACCAAAAAATTGATACAACAAATTCAGTAAAATTCCATAGGAAGTAAGATTTATGAAGGTTGTGTGTAGACAGATCCTACCCCTACTCAGAACATCATTCATTTGATATCACACCAATAAGGCTATAACTTTATTTCATCCCAAAAAAAAACTATTTCAACAGGCATTCATTACTCAAAGAATTCCAGATCACATATCTCAAGGTATCAATGTGGAGGAATCAAAACCACAAAAGGACACACAAATGCTCCTGCAATGGAAAGCAAACCAAAGGAAAAGCTGGGGAAAAAAAAGCTTAGGAGTGTAGGATAGTTTTTTACCCAGTAATCATAGTTCCAGCTCCTTTATCCGTGAGGATCTCGAGCAGTAAGGAGTGTTCAAGACGTCCGTCGATAATACTTGCCGTGCGTACCCCCTGTGCCAGAGACCTCAAGCAGCAAGTCACTTTTGGAATCATCCCGCCGGCAATCTTCCCATCATCCATCATCTTCTTCACTCCTTTGATGTCAACCTCCTTCACCAAGGTCCTCGGGTCATTTCGGTCCTCCAAGATCCCAGCCACGTCTGTCAGGAGTAACAGCTTTTCTGCCCCCAAAGCAGCAGCTAGCTCGCCGGCTGCTGTGTCTGCATTAATGTTGTAGGACTGCCCTGCCTTGTCGGCTGCCACTGACGCAATCACCGGGATGTGATAATTGTCAATGAGTGGCCTAAGCACGGTGGGGTCCACGTTTTCAATCTCGCCAACAAAGCCAAGCTCTGCTGCGCTGGGTGAGGGCCGTGCAGTTATAAGGCGGCCATCAATGCCTGATAGTCCCACTGCAGTTGCCCCTGCCTTATTGATCAAGGAGACGAGATGCTTGTTGATTTTACCAGCCAATACCATGGACACGATCTCCATAGTAGAAGCATCAGTTTTACGAAGTCCGTTTAGAAAGGTGGGCTGGATGCCCAACCGCCCAAGCCAATGGTTGATTTCGGGACCCCCTCCATGGACAAAGACGATTCGGAGACCAACACAGGAGAGGAGGACAAGATCGGCAATAACAGATGCCTGAAGGGCTTCAGATTTCATTGCAGCACCCCCGTATTTCACTATGACTGTCTTCCCCCGGAATTTCTGAATAAAGGGGAGTGCTTCTGAAAGAATCTTGACGCGGGAGGGTGCGGGAGTGTTAAATGGTTCAGGTGATACAATTGATTCCAGGGACGTTTTGAGGCACGAGGTCAAGAAAGGGTTGCTGTTGATATTTCCATTGGCTTTTGTAATAGGGAGGGATAGTGGAAGGTTGAGTTTAGAGTCCCGAAATGTTAAGTCCTTCAAGGGGGGAGAAGGAAGAGGGAGGGTTTTAGTGAACAACATCATTTCCTCTTTCATGCAAATCAAAGGAGACAACCCAAAGGCCTTTGATCTAGGACCTGGATAAAAATTTAAACTTGCAGCAAAAAGTTTGCCATCTGCAAAATAAATCTGTGAAAGTTATTATTCAAACCAAATGTGATGTGCAAGCAATTGAAACAAAAAAAACATCGTGTATAAAATAGAAACATTAAAAACTGGACAATTATTTATGAAAAGATGGACAAAATTGCAGCATTTCAAGTGAAAGATTTATATTCTTGGTAAGGGTAGTAAAAATAAAGGCTCCGGAGTGTCAACAAGAGAGAAAGAAATTGAAAAAGGAAAACACAATTCTGGTTCATTGATGATGGCAAACACCAGTAGCTGGACTTACACTATGTTTGGTTCAAGGAATTTGAAAGGGAAAGAAAAGAAAATGGGAATGAAAACATATTGTCTTGTTTGGTTAGAGAGGGAAAAAAAAGTGGAAGGAAAAGAAAATGAGAAGACACGATGTACTAATAGGAGGGAAACCCAAATTCCTTCTTTTTTGGCATAAGAATAATTAATAATAAAAAAATTACATATTAAAAACTACGTTGAAAGTTCTGCAAAATAAGATGTGACAAGAATATTTTATTTCATCAAATGATTAATAAAATTACACAATCCAATTTAGGAGGAAGGTATAATTTCAATGACGCTCGAACAATTGTAATGTCACGAAGGCGAATCTGCAAAAGCAGCTAGAAAATCTGGGTTGAATAAAAGAAGACTCAAGATCGGGAATTCGGGATTCTCACACAACATTTTGTTCCCTTGGCAATGCATCGAACACATGGCACACACAAACAATTAAGGGTCCGTTTGGAAACCAGGAAAATGACTTATTTTGCTTTCTTTCCTGATGTTTGGTTCAAAATCTGAAAATGACAATTTTTATTTGGATGGTTCATTTCTGGAAAATCAGAAATTAACCATGAAAAAACTAGAACATAGTGAACATGCGAAGCTGAATAAAATCAAAAAATCAAAACATGAATTACCTCAAATCTACCCTGAATGAATCAAAAGGAATTCTCAATTTGAAGTTCAATTTTTTTTTATAAAATTGATTTGCTAGACGGACGGATGTGTGTTGGCCTGTATACGGTGGGCAACATATCACTGGATGGCATCGGCATGGGATTCAAAGCACAGATTTTGTAAATTTTGCAAGGGATTTTCCATTGACATGGATTTTCCAAAGTAACCAAACACAGAAAATGCAGAAAATGATTTCTAGAAGTCAATATACATGTAAAAAAAGAAGAAGAAGAAGAACAGATCATAACCAACTTACCAGGAAGAAGATCGTAGAAGAGTGATAGCTGAAGAGCAAAGAAAATTGAAGACGTCTATATACACTGGGGACTGGGGGAGTATTCTTTAATCAATTAGACACCCTCTCATTCTCTTTCTCCTATGCTTCCATCACTTTCCCCAACATTTGTCTTATCATACTCCATACGAACTACTCCTTATTTATTTCATGATTTAATTGAGGGCCAAATATCCCGTACCCACATATTTTCAAAACTTATTTCTAAAGTCTTTGTGATTTTAAATGTTGCACCCGTGCCTCCTCTGATCATTTTTCGGTCATTTTTTTGGAGAAAAAGGGAGGCATTCGTGCATATTTTTTAAACCATGGGATGTACCGGTGCTGATTTTTTATTTCTCTTTTTTTCCCATTTTTTTCCTTTATTTGTTTCATTTATTAATAAAGGTTATTTTACAATTACTTTTATAATGTTCTTAAAATTTAAAGTTGTTTTTGTTTGAAAAAATTAACATATAACGCATCGGCACGTCTCAAATTAATAATTTTTGTTTTTTCCAAAAAAAAGTAATTTTTTTAGAACTTCTAAAAAATGATGAATAAAATAAGAAACAAAATAATACAAAAATAAAAATGATTATCCTTTTTGGACATCTCAATTTTAAGGATATTTTTAGGCGTGTTCCAAAATTGTTTTTTGTAGAAGACTCTTTTTTTCACATTTTAAGTTTTTCATTTCGTTTTTCCATATTTTTATTTTGGATTTTCTTTTTGAACTTTCCAAAAAATTATTCTATGTAAGAAAAAGTGAAAATGTTTAATTTGAGATAGATGTAATGTATGTTAATTTTTTTATTAGTTCAAACACAAAAAATTTTAAAAAATTTTA